GAAAAACGTCAAACATGAATACTAATAAAACACAATTTACAGCACCCACTTATGTGGGTTATAAGTATCTGTCATTAACCCCAAAGTGTAGGTTCTAAGATTCCGAAGTTTTCAGATAAGGAAACAAAAGCTCGGAGAGTTTAGATAATATATCAATGTCCTCAGTTAGTGAGTCACAGAGTTTGGGCTCTGTTTTCAGATCAATGTCGTCAGTTAGTGAGTCATGGAGTTTGGACTTTGTTTCCAGAGCTTGTGGGTTCTTTGTCCTCTTCAGAAGATACCTAGCCTTTCCCTTTTCAAAACATTTCACAGCTCAGTTTTATCCTTGTCAGAGTACCATGACGTTGAAAAGATACCGATTGGCTTTACCTAAGATTATAAAACAGAATAAACTTAAGAGATAATCAGGAGGGAAATAATACTCAGCTAGGGGCAAATTTAGTGTATATAAGTTATTTGAGTATATCCTAGGCTCTGTATGTAGTTCTAGCAGGGTCACTATGGACTGACTAACCAGGAAGAGGTAGCTTGGTAGCAACTGAGGATGCAAGAGCCTGCAAAGTGATCATTTCTTTCCAAGGTGATCATTAGTAAACACATGTGCTAGACAAACTATAGTTCTATCTGGAATAAGCATTTGCTGAATGAATACCAAGAAATATCTGACAGATTAATATCCTAAATGTACAAAGGACTCAAAAAAACTAAACAAGAAAATAATTTAATCCAAAAAAAAAATGGCTAAGATACTCTATGGCTCTTGTGAGGAGCATCGTCAGCCCAAGTGGTAAAGCTTCATTTAAGGTATTTGTGTGTGTGTGCGCACATGTATTAGATATAATTTTACATAAATAACAATGATTCCTGGAGACTTTATAAGACATCACTAATGGTATTTGTTCCTTATTTGCTCCTCTTCTTCTATATTGACCTCCCTATTCTCCTCTATGGAAGAAGCCCCCTTCAGATTACCTATATCCTGCCACAATCATCCCCATTACTAGGCCTGGGAAATCTCCATTTGAGTTGTTTGTCAGGGTACTCCAAGTGACCTCCAGAACAATACAGACCATTGCTGTTGTCCTTGGTTACCTCTCAAAGGTTGACGTTACATCCCTAAAGCTGAAGGCTCTACACACTGGAGATGGAACCCAGAAGATTGATTCTGAGTAAATGCCATAGGACAGAAAATGCTATTTATGATGCCAAGGGAGGGATGCAATCAACAATGCTACCCAGCTGTGATGCCTAGGAACCACAACATTGTCCAGCCTGGCAAGATATCCCTAATGATGGAAGAATGGTACTCATATCTTGTTGGTAACCCTGACTGTCTAATTGGGAGTAAGGCCCACTCAAAAAGAGAGAAATAATGTCTGGTACTTTCTAGAAACTTTGCCAAATACCTGGGGCTAGTGAGGTCATGGATCTTAAGGCAAACCCACTATCATCACCATACTAGACCAGCATAATTCCTAACTGCATCCTAAAACTCAAGCCCATAGATAAAACACAGCTTTTACCCCTCCAGAAAAAGAAGTTTCTCTTGCAGAAAATAGAGACCATTTCAGAAAGCAACAATTGGTCATAACGCTGTGATCATGGGGAGTCCCAAAGGATACATCTACAACAAAACCTTCACCTAAAGCTCAGAGAACACTGCAGAAGAGGTGGGCAGAAAGACTGTAAGAGCCAGGTGACCAAGAAGTCTGCTGTGAGAATGCATCTCCTGGAAATGACAGGGGAGGTACACCCACAACACCTCAACAACATGGCTGCCGATGAAAGATCTGAACAATGACATCACCAATAAACATCCTAACACAGACAGAAGAAGGAAATCATGGGTCACCGCCCCTAAACAAAGAACTCCAGACAGCTAATGACGGTTGAGGGAGAAGAATCAATCTCTCCTTGGTATGAGCGCCCTAATTGTTTATCCAATACCAAATGGTCAGCCCTGAAATCACATATACATAAGCAACACTAATGGGACTTGGCAGGTGGTATTTATATATTTATTTATTTTTTTTAATATTTATTTATTATGTATACAATATTCTGCTTCCATGTGTGCCTGCAGGCCAGAAGAGGGCGCCAGATCTCATTACAGATGGTTGTGAGCCACCATGTGGTTGCTGGGAATTGAACTCAGGACCTTTGGAAGAGCAGGCAATGCTCTTAACCGCTGAGCCATCTCTCCAGCCCCTAATATATTTATTTTTATGCATATATGTGTTTATGTATATATAAGAATAACCAAAGAAAAAGAGGCCATCAGCTTAAGAGGGTCTTGTAGGAGACATGGAAGGAGTTGGAGGGAGAAAAGGGGAAGAGATGTAACTGTATTTTAATTAAAAATGAAAAAAAAAGCCAGGTAATGGTGGCACATGCCTGTAATTCCAGCACTTGGGATGCAGAGGCAGGAGGATCTCTGTAAGTTTGAGGGCAGCCTGGTCTATAGAGTGAGTTCCAGGACAGCTAAGGCTACACCGAGAAACCCTGTCTCATAGGTGTGTGTGGGGGGAGTAATAAGAAAAAAATAACAGGTCAAGAAAATGGATAAAGTTCTCAAAAGAAGAAATATAAATTGTCAATGAGTATTTTCAAAAGTCTTCAACATCCTTAGTGACCAGAGAATGTGAATTAAAACTACTTTGATTTTCCATCACCCCCTCCATCAGAATGACTAGTATCAATAAGATACATGACAACAAATGTTGGTAAGGGTGAAGGAAAAGAGAATCCTGTGTTAGGGTTGGTTGGAGTGTAAAGAGCTGTAGCTACTATGTAAGTCAGCATTTCCAGAAAGGCTGCGATACAGAACTTCTGTACATCCCAGCTTTGTCATTCAGATACACACCCAAAGGGTCTACATCCCACTACAGAGATGCTTGCTCAGCTATGTCATTCAGAAATACACCCAAAGGGGTCTACATCCCACTACAGAGATGCTTGCTCAGCTATGTCATTCAGAAATACACCCAAAGGGGTCTACATCCCACTACAGAGATGCTTGCTCAGCTATGTCATTCAGAAACACACCCAAAGGGGTCTACATCCCACTACAGAGATGCTTGCTCAGCCATGCTTACTATAGCTCTACTCACAACTAGAAAAAAATCGGCCTAGATGTCCATCAACGGATGAATAATCCAAATAAATATTCTGTATTATATAATACATATACTGTATTATAATTTATATATACTAATAAATATCTATATATATATATGGAATTCTACTCAGTCATACAGAAAAATGAAACTTTTAGGAAACCAATAGAACTGGGCAATACTGAGGTGGCCCAGGCTTAGAAAAGCTAACACCCTACGTTCGCTCTGATTTTCAGACTTTAGTTTTTGGTGTATATCTGTGTGAGTGTGTGTAGACACTGGGAAACTAAAAGGGGGCCATGAGGAGCAGAGGAAGCTTTACTAAGGGTGAGGGGCCGGCAAGGTACTAGGAGAGATCTAGAAAGGAAGGAGGAATACTGGAGAAAGGTCTAAGTGAGTGTTTTGAGCTGGGAGATGGAGAGAGAGAGAACTACAGCCTAAACTAAGTACGTGTGAAAACGCCACAAGGAAACCTACGACTCTGTAAACCATAAAATTACAGCAATTGAAAAAAATGTGTCATATTGAAAAAAAACAACCAAACAAGCACCTTAGACTATAAAGCATAAGGCTTAAAACTCAGTAAATGCTAATTTAAGTAACCTTCTATGAAAAAATAAGACTGACCGTGAATTTTTAGTCTCTTGAGAGCCTACAAAATGACAGGTCACAAGGAGCACACTTGTCTCAGAATTCTTACACAGCAAGTCTTAAATTTTCAGCATTCAAGTTGGACTCTATTCTTGATTTTGTAGCATTTTCTTCTTGTTAGAACTAGAGAGGAGATACTTAACTGAAAGATTAAAGATGGTGGCGGTGTCTTTAAGGGAAACCATCACTTGCAAACTGTGGTCCAACTTTCTTAAGTTTGGATCATCACATGGTTTACCGCTTCTTTCCTCAACTGGTACATACACTGGGGTTCTGATAGAAAAACCAAGGTATTTAAATGTCATAACTTTTGAGTTCAAGTCTAATAGCCTTAACAGACACTCAACTGTTGGGGCTGGAGAGATGGCTCAGCGGCTGAGTGCTTACTACTTTTTGAAGAGGACCCGAGGGAAGTCCCCAACACGCACAGGAGAACTCGTTACCGCCTATACCTCCAATGCCTTATTCCAGCCTCCATGGCTTCTGCACACACACGGTTGCACATAAAGTCTTGTCCTGCTGGTTCACACATTAGACATTAAGAACATCTTTAAAACTCAAGTACTGGTTTGTGTATCTAACCACATGGGAGAAATGTGGGTGTTTCTTCCATACAGCAGATGAGTTCATACTTAATAATGGGGTGCATCTGTTAGGCCATGACTCAGTGTACCCAAATTATAAGGACGGCTGTTTCTACTCTCTAAAGAGCCTTCGGGATCAACAAGCATACAATTTTGAGGTGTTGTGTCAGCTCTAGCCTGATCGAAATCATACTAGAGGCCCGGAATTTCAATTTCTGTTGAAATAAGCCCCTGTTCAAATTCAGACTTCTGATGTGTCCTGTTTATTTTCAAATCCTAATAAAAAGCAGGCGGGTGGGGGGGAGGGGGTAGTACTTCGGGAGGTATCCCGCAAAGGCCAGAGACGTCCTTTGTTGAGTGGCCCTGAGACCGAAGCTTCAGAGGCCACATTTTGAAAATACACAGTAAAGGACGAGACAAAAGCCATCTACTAAGGATTCTCTTTTGGCAGAACCGGCACTGAGACTGGATGTGGGCTCCTTTGGCACAACCATAGAACCTAAACAGCCCAGGAATCTTTGACGTCGGTTCCTGAGGCGCCAACCTGCCAGACAGACGCCCACACCCCGGGGTCAGGTGACGCCGGTTCCACCTGCGCCCGGTGTCGCACACTCCTCGGGATTTTCCACCGCTCCATCTGCCCACATCCACCGCGGTTCCCAGCGATCGTCCGCCCTACAGCTCTGAGCCAACTCTGAAGCTGAGGTACCGGAGAGCACGCTCGCTCTCAGAGGTCCCCAGCCGGAAGCGCGCTCTACTCCCGCCCCCCGCCGGCGGATCCGGAAGTGGGGGTCGGCCGCGGCGCGCCGCCCTCCGCGGGCCCCCGGGCAGGATGCTCTCCGGCGTCCGCAGCCGCCTCCCGGCCTCTGTAGCACCCGCCGCGGTCCTGGCTGCGGCGCTGCTCTCGTCGTTCGCGCGCTGCTCTCTCTCGGGGCGCGGCGACCCGGTGGCGTCGGTGCTCAGCCCCTACTTCGGCACGAAGACTCGCTACGAAGATGTCAACCCCTGGCTGCTGGTCAACCCGGTGGCTCAGCAGCGGGACCCGAAGCTGCTGGCGGGGACCTGCACCCCGGTGCAGCTGGTCGCCCTCATCCGTCACGGCACCCGCTACCCTACGACCAAGCAGATCCGCAAGCTGAGGCAGCTGCAGGGGCTGCTGCAGACTCGGGGAACCGGAGACCGCGGGAGCGGAGTGGCAGCCGCGCTGGCCGAGTGGTCGCTGTGGTACGATGACTGGATGGACGGGCAGCTGGTGGAGAAGGGGCGGCAGGACATGCGACAGCTGGCACTGCGCCTCGCCGCCCTCTTCCCCGACCTCTTCAGCCGGGAGAACTACGGCCGCCTGCAGCTGATCACCAGCTCCAAGCACCGCTGTGTGGACAGCAGCGCCGCCTTCCTCCAAGGGCTGTGGCAACACTACCACCCCGGACTGCCACCGCCAGACGTCTCAGGTGACAGCGCGCCCCGCCTCCCCCAGATCCGGACCCCCAGCTCAGCCTCTGCTCGCGGCCCCCTTTCCAGCCTTACGTTCCCCGCACTCCACCGCCGTTTGCGCTCTCAGAGCGCAGGATGTTGTGGACTTGGCTGCCTCTGTTGTCTTAATAGCATGCTTGTTTAGTCACTCATCAGCTGTGACTTCCTAGCATTTTCTGCGTGAGGGGTGCTGTAGGGGACGCTGGAGATCCAGCAGGAAAAGGGAGGAGTATCGCTCCCAGAGTTACATTCCCCATTTACAAACTGTGTTATCCCTCTGAGCGCCAATCTTTCCCTTCCTGGCAACTAGTTTAACAGCTGGCGCATTTGCCGGGCGGTGGTGGCGCACGCCCATAGTCCTAGCACTCGGGAGGCAGAGGCAGGTGGATTTCTATGAGTTCGAGACCAGCCTGGTCTGTAAGAGCTAGATCCAAAACTACAGAGAAACAAAACAACTGGCGCTAGAACTTTTTCCTCCTGCATTGCTTATGTCAGTTGGACTTTTTTTTCTTTCTTTTTTATCATCGTCTTTTCGGGTGTTAACACATTTACGTGCTGTTTTAGGAAGCCGCTCCTCAGATCTTCTCTGTGCCCTTCTTTTCCCCTCTGTTTTGTTCTTGTGTTTTCTGTAGCATTTCCCTCGTTGTGGCTGTGGTATATGGGCACGTGCTCCACATGTAAGTTGGTAAACTTACTCCATCATGACACCGTTTCAGAATTTGGGAGCTCTTGGGGTGGAATCCTGTTTGGTGTGCTTCCTTCGTTTGTTCTTACATAGCTTATGACTAGTCAGGCCAGAATCCAGGTCGTGGCTTTTCTAGATTGTCTTTTCCCTCCAAAAATGTTCCATTTGCTGCAGATAACCGCAGCAAACATAATGCCTTTGTGTACCGCGCAGGCTTCACGTTTAGTTTGTTGACTGCTTACCACGGCTTTATGAAGTCGCTAATCGTGTCCACCGCCCAGTCTCACAGACGAAGAAATGAAGCAAAAATACCAAATAACTTGTTAATTTTCATTCAGCTGGATGTGGATCTAGGAAACCCGATTTAGAACTTGCTCTCAACTGTGACACCTTACATCTTCTGAGTACTTTGCCCGTAACATAGCTGATGAAAATAGCATGTAACATCTTTGTACCAAAAGATGAGCAAGTGTGAGCAACTGCTTATCAGTGTTAAGGTAACTCAAAAAAAAAAAATTAGAAGTACTCAGTTTGTCATCTCTGCCCTAACATTTAAAAAGCTATTCTAGAGAATTCCCCATTGTTGTGTGTCATCTTACTAATGACATACGTGTGCCTATTTATTGAGTGTGCTTTTTAATTGTGGCTACATTTTTTTTTCATTACTTTGAGTGGAAATCCTTCTAAATCCATTAACGTTCACTTGAGTCTGAAAACTCGAACATTGAAAATGGCACCACAGGGCTGGTGAGATGGCTCAGCGGGTCAAGGCTCTTGCAGCCACGCCTGCCAGCCGGACTCAGATCCCTGGACATGCATAGTGAAGGGAGAGAACTGAGCTCTGCCAGCTGCACACTGAATAAATACCTGTTACTTTTTAAAATGCACAGTGTGTACTGTGTAAATATATACAGGAGAAATGAATTATGGTCTTCAGATTGCATTGTGAGGATTGGCATTTGCCTCGTGTGCAAAGCCAGGGATGGAAACAGTTTAGGGAAATCTAGCCCTGATTGTTTCAGTCCCAGAGGTTAAACTACCCCTGACCACTCCATTGTCATCGTAGAGGGTCGTTTTGTCTACAGTGTACATCTGGACTTCTGAGAAAGGCCACACAATCAGATTTTAGGTTTTTATAGAAACAGAACAATGTAATTTGATAACACAAGTGAGAAGTTGATCTTTGGAGCCATATGGGAAGATGACAGAATTCCCTTGTTCAGGATGTTTCTGTAAGAACTATAATTCAGTTGGCAAGTAGAGTAGGCACAATTATGTTTGGGAAATATATTTACGTATATGTTTATATTTTTACCCAGATAACCAACATAATTTGGTCTAACTTGTGTTTTCACGTTCATATACAGAAGCAATACTTAGTGTTCTTTTCCCATTGTAAGAATGGTGATTGAGATGTTTTGAATATGACTGGAAAAAGGCCCCAACAAATTGAAGCATGATAATGAACGCTTTTTCTATAAATATTTGTTGCCAAGTTGTGGAAACAATGTAACCTAGTAAATGCTAAATGGGAGCCATCTGAGAGCTTCAGGCAGAGGAGGAGCCAAGGGGGCTGGCTTCTGAGCTGAAACAGTGGACCTTAAACAGCAATGATGCTTTGCTGGTTTCTGTAGTTTTTGTCAAAACAATATTTTGTCAGGTAGCACGGCTTGGAAAATTAGTTGAGAAACTGAAATGCTCCACTTGTAGTCTTGCTTAGCAGGAGAAACAGACCTGTCGAATTCTCCGCTTGGTGTCTGGAAACTGCTGGGTCTTAGTTTGCTTTCTAAGGGTACCGATGTTTTAAGAATATATATACCTTGTATAGTATTGCTTTAACATTTCTTTTCAATCTACTTTTTTTAGTCTTTTCTAGCCTATCAGTTCATGCATTGTAATTGTTATAAATGAAGAAACTGAGTTGGGGATGTAGTTAGCTTATTGGGTAGAGAGCTGGCCTACCGTATAAAGGCCCTGAGTTTGACCCCTAATACCTCAAAAAAGCAAAATAAACACTCCACGAAAAACCCATTCTCTTTGGGACTAGAGAGATGACTCTGTGGTTGAGAGTATTGCTCTTGCAGAGGACTCAAGTTTGGTTCCAAGGTCAGGCAACTCAAATTTGTTAACTCCAGCTCCCCAGGATCTGACTCCCTCTTCTGGTTTCCACTAGCAACTGCACCCTTCTCTTGATCACTCTATTTTCTTTGTTTGTTAAATGTACCTTTTTCACTTTAAATTTTCAGTAATTTGAATTGTCACTAATGCCAATGACTTACACATGTATGCTTTCTTCACTTCAGATATGGGGTGTGACCCTCCAATAATTAACGATAAACTAATGAGGTTCTTTGATCATTGTGAGAAGTTTTTAACTGATGTGGAAAGAAACGATTCGGCTCTTTATCATGTAGAAGCCTTCAAAACTGGACCTGAAATGCAGAAGACTTTAAACAAAGTTTCAGCTACATTACAAGTGCCAGTAAACAGTTTAAATGCAGGTAATATATCTGTTGTATTTCATTTCAATTCTGGTGTAAACAGTTTGGGAACGTTAAATGTAAACAAACAAACAAAAACAACAGTTACTCTTAGGGGTCACAATAAAATTATGTTAACTAAATAGCATGTCTTGGGCCAGGAAAATTATATACCACATGCTTCATTTTATTTTCATATTTTTAAAATCTTTTATAAATTAATGTATGAGGCTTCTAAATGTGGATTTTTTTGTGCGAGCCTCATCTCTAAGCATAACTTAATTTAAAAATTGCCTTTTCTAAATTGTCTCTTTGTGTCATGTGGTGGAGGCGCATGCCTTTAATCCCAGCACTCAGGAGGCAGAGGCAGGCAGATCTCTGAGTTCGAGGCCAGCCTGGTCTACAATGTGAGTTCCAGGACAGCCAGGACTTTTACACAGGGAAACCCTGTCTCAAAAAACAAACAAACAAACAAAATTATCTTGGAGGGGGGGAGCGGGAGGAGAGGAAGGAAAAGCAACTGAAATTGGTATGTAAAATTAAATAAATATTACCTCTTTGTAAAAAGTGCAAGGAAAAATCATAAATGCTTTTGTTTTGGGAAACCTTAGGAGTGCATGTTATTGTGAAGAATGGTAGGTTTTAGGGAGTGAGAATTGAAGTAGGTTTGCAACTTCTGTATGTGGAGGAGACTTCAGGGACTTGAGTAGTCAGGTCTGTCCTGAGCTGTTGAAGGGAGCCTGTGGTTTGTCATCTATGCTGAGACCCTTGGGAGAGTGAGAGCAGTGACTGCAGTGGGAAACAGGGCACACGGTCGCCTAGGAGTGGACAACTAAGAGAATGAAGTTTTTTTTTTCTGTTTTCTAAAGCTTTATAATTTATTATGATATTAGTAGATATTAATATATAGAGAAGTGACTATATGTCTCATTATATTGTAAATCAGTTTCTAAAAGGTTAGAAGAAGAAGGTGTTGGTACAAGGGGGGAAAATTAAAATCTACTGTACCTGGCTTGGTAAAGTGTGTCTTGCTTGTTTGTTTTGTCATTTGTTTCCTGGTATAGAGTACAGCACCTCATAGTCTGAGAGCCAGAACTCAAGCTCCAGATGAGCCATACCATGTCCCCAGACACACACAGCGTTAACAAGCCACTGTGCTTTATTAGGTGTTGTGGTTCTAAAACCTTATAGAAGCCCAAGTTTCCAATAGCTTTTATGTATAGTTCTAAAGAAATAAAAGTCTTTCTTAAGATTTTATTTTATGTGTGTGAGTGTTTGCCTGCAAATGTGTGGGTGTGTGACTGCCACGTGTGTTGCCTGGTGGTGCCAGGGAGGCCAGAAGAGGGGATCAGATCCTCTGGAACTGATCACAGACCATTGTGAGCTTTCATGTGAATGCTAGGAATAGAACCTGGATCCTCTCTGAGAGCAGCTAGGGCTTTTCACTGCTGATCCATCTTTCCACCCCCAAAATGTTGTGGTTTGTGTGTGTGTGTGTGTGTGTGTGTGTGTGTGTGTTTTAAATATATTACCTCAGGAATTCTTTAAACTGAACTGGTATGGAAAATATCAATTATTTAATCTTGGTCTCATTTTCCTTTGGGAAAGAAAAACACAGTAAAACAAACCAAAACTCAGAGTAACGGTAGCAGTCACCACCGTTGGCACCTCATGCCTTCGTTCCCTGAACTCTTCAGCTTTAGATGTTCCCACTTGTTTACTAGAGAACCCCGTGTTTGACTCCTCTTGACCAAGGCCTCCTTTTATAGCCCAAGCTCTGATACGCGTATCCCTTTCTTTAGTACCGTTTATGTCTAAAGTAAAGCAGTTAGCAGTATAAATATTCCTGGTTCCTGATTCTGAAATCTGCTGGAATTTCTTAGGCAGCTAAGTTTGGAAAATGGATCTAATTACCTTGCTAGTACGGGGTTGTCCTTTCCTTGTTCTCTGCTTGGAGTCTTCATCTTTCTCCGGCCCCTTCGTTCCATTTTTCCTTCTCAGTCTTCTAGGGTCCTCTCTCACATTTTACGTGTCTCTATTTATGTATTAAAAGTTATAATAGGAGCTGTTTTGTAGTTTTTAAAACTGGTAGTAAATATACTGTCATTGCTAATATTCAAGGAGGACAAAACATTGGAAACTTTTGCTCCCTTTTCCTACCCTTCTAAAGATATCAATGTGGAGTTCTATTTAATAAGTCAATGTGTGAATCCTTTGTTGGGTCTGCTACAAAGCATGCACTTAGAAACAAACTTAGAAACTTTAAAAATCGCCCTTTGCAGGCTGCTTCATAGGCTCGTTGGACAGAGATGCCTCCCTCGAGGTTTCCTCTGCTGTTGCAGTTGTCCGTTTGCATGCACAGTCAAGCCTTGGTCCTCAGATAGTCTCCTCTCCAGAAATACAGTTTTTCAGCTGTGCATATAACTGTGCACATAGTAGTCTATGGGTATATAGTCTTTAAAAACTAGAGAAATGAATAACCCACATTCTACCTGTTTTCTCCCCCAGACTTAATTCAGGTAGCTTTTTTCACCTGTTCATTTGACCTGGCAATTAAAGGCGTCCATTCTCCTTGGTGTGATGTGTTTGATGTAGATGACGCAAAGGTAAGTTCCGTTTGTGTTCTCTTCCTCGTGCTTTTTAGTCAATTGAAATTTTTGTTGTTTTCTCAAAGCAGTGTTCCAGAAAATAAGTACGATAAACTGCCTGCGACTAACTCCCAATTTTCCTAGGTCAGGAGGGATGGAGGCTTAAGGAGGAAATTATTTGGGTTCATAGAACTCAGAAAAACTTCTTTTTATAGTAATTTGATTTCTAAGTCTTTCCCCCTCCCCATTCCAATTAGAAACCCACTCTGGGAGAGGTAGTAGGACTAATATAAGATCAAGTTCTGCTGAGCAAGGACCGTTTCCCTCAGACCTGGTTCATCCTGTGAATTCATCCCATTCATGAGAAATTCAGCTCCTGTTTGCCTAAGAGGTCCCTGGTTCCACCTGGTGGTGGCAGTGGTGCCGCACAGTTTGTCTGTCTTCCTGTCCCCTCTCCTCACCTGACTGGTGCACTTTGAAGGAGTGCAGAGAGACCTCTGAGGACTTTAAGGGAGCTAAATTTTGCTTGATTCTTGAGTGCTGGGGTCTATAAAGGATGAATTAGGAGAATATTTTGGATTGTTCAGGATTATAGACTTCTGGACCTTAGTTACTCCTTATGTGCATAAATAAAACAGTGTTTTATATGGGAATTGGGAATTGCTTCAAAGTTTATTAAATTCTAAAGAAATACGCCAAACAGCAAATTTCAAGCACATGAAGGCGCTTTATTTTGTTTGTGGAGACTTAGGTGGCCAGCAGCAGGTCAAAGGTCATCCATGGTTCTTGAGCAGTGCCATGGGAGGTTGAGAGGAGTGACAGGTTCTCAGTGAATGGCTGCTGTCAGGTGCTGAGTGCCAGCGTGGATGCATGTTTGTTCTTCCCCTTTGTGCTCTGAGTCAGTGCTGGATGGCTAGCTTCTTCTCATCCCCCATTAACCTCTGTATGGCCTCCAAACCTATTAAATACCTGCTGCTGGGAGAATTGGCAGGGCCAGTATAAAGCCAGTTGTCCTCAGAGAGAACATTTTCCCGCAGACCTGAGTCTAAACTATCTTCCCAGTCCCATTTCATATTTTAGTGTTTTTAGTTAGCTACAAAATAATGAATTAGACTATGTACATGTATGTTATATAATAACCTTATTCTCCTCTGCTTCTGCCCTTCTCTATTTCCCCCTGCTTCTCTGCCCACCACAGCTAGTTTTTTTTTCTTTATATGAGAGAAAGCATAAGGTATTTTATCTTTCTTCCCCCTGTTGCCCACTTTTGCTCCCCTACCTCTCTTCCCTTCAGATTTCTTTCTTCTCCCTCATTTCTCCTTTAACTGGACACTTTCAAAATGAAAAGAGCCCCATTGATAATTTTGCCAATATCAATACAAAGAAATGTCTGGTCACCATTCACATGCCTCAAAGCATCTCCTTTCCTCCCTACCCATACTGCTTGGGTCCAGGGGAAGATCATAACTGATAGGATTTTCAGTTAATACATAAATGATGAATTTTGGTAATAGAGAAATTTCATTTAACTGAATTTATCTGCCCAGGTTACTCTAATTGTTGAATCGTTTAGGATATAACTGACTTGGCTGCCTGCTCTATTTTGTTCTGCGTGGCTTTGTCCATGTGCTCCCTTGTGAAGACTGACAGGGCCTCTTTAAGTGCACGCTGCTTTCTTAGAGGAGGCCATAACCTGCCCGCTGACCCCTGTCTCATCACCGGAGTACTGCCCTCACCCCACTTATTCACTTCCTCTTCTATCAAACATTTACTCTTGCTTTCTGTACATCTTTTTTTCTACTTTAGATAATCAAGTGTGCTTCTGTGCATGCGTGCACACACACATACACACAATGAATGTATAAAAGATTTTAAATGGAGAGACATTTTCACAATTCTGAGAACTGTGGAGATTTTTAGTTACCTTATGAAATGCTGGGCCACTTGTACTGTTATTTAGCATAAATTTGTTTTAGTGGCTGTTTTATGTGAGATATTTGCTTAGAGCTGAAATACTGATAAAGATAAGCACAAGGAATGAAGGGTGTTAATGTGCTCTCTCCGGAGGTCACGGGATGGGTAAGAAGTCGGCCAGCAGTGGCCGGGCAGGCTTTACTGAAGAGGTGGTGCAGAACCAGCTGCACTCCGCAGCGTTGCCTTTTTCACAGCTCCGCACCCGCTTCAGTTACAAATGCACCTGCATTTCCTATTCTGTGGTCGCCTTCTGTGTTTAAGAATTTCCTATAAAAGTCATTCGCATTATCCAGACCTCCCTTCTGGTAAACCTGCCCCTCGCCGTTTAAACACTCAGCTTCTCTTTAGAACCTTGACTCTAGTCGCCGTTTAAACACTCAGCTTCTCTTTAGAACCTTGACTCTAGTTATTTGTTAATGCAAATTTTCCCAGTCAGGTAGCTTATATTAGACTTTGCTCTTAAATTCTTTTGCACCTGCACTTTCCAGCTTTTTATATGACATGTTAAATGTGAGGATGGGGTGATTTTTTTGTAATGATAATTTGCTACTGTTTTCATTCCTAATTCTATTATTTTATTCCTGAGTAGATTTATTATATCTTTATCTAGTTCATATTCTGTTGAAATCTGTCTGTATGTGTGGTTGCTTCTTCCTTTTGCTGACTTTGATGGGTTTTGTTTGAGGTCCGGCATACTGACCTAACTCTACTCCTAAGCTTTGACTAGTACCAAGTTTCTCTAGGATTTCTTGTCTTAAAATTCTTAAAAATTTATATTGACTGCGATTAAAAGTCAGAAGAAAGTGGCCAGAGCTGATGATCTTTGTCTCCCTTTAACCCCGACTCCAGTTACACCACAGATGTTGCTGTGAGTCCTGGACCTCAGGGGTCAGTCCTTAGAGGCCTGAGGCGGCCGATGTGCTGGCAGAAGCTAAGACTGCGCCATTTGCTCTATGATGAAATTAGTGTAACTCTTCTCAGAGCTGTTAGTATTAATCAGGACACCTGGTACATGTCTGGAACTGTATTAGAAATTACCTTTGAAATGTTTCTGTTTAGGTACTGGAATATTTAAATGATCTGAAGCAATATTGGAAACGAAGCTATGGCTATAGCATTAACAGCCGGTCCAGCTGCACCCTGTTTCAGGATATCTTTTTACACATGGACAAAGCAGTTGAGCAGAAGCAAAGGTAAAAATGTCTTTAAAAATGTGGAGTTCATTTAGAGCTAGCGGTTCATAAACTTCTGGAAAATGTTTTACAATGCATGACTTTTGTGTATATTTTAAAAAGAATATACGATAATTGATATTGCCCAATCAATATACTAGTCATGTTGAAGTCGTACTATGTATTTTTTTCCCCTCTCAACATTACATTTCTGATAGTTCTGTAATTGCATATGTCCTGCAGTGAGGTTGTCCATGCTGTGAGTATATGGCAGTTTTAGCTGTCTTCACTTCTTGGTTGCACTTGAGTTCTTTGTAGTTTGTTATAAAATAGCTTCCGACATGAATATGCAAAATGCTTTTCCCTTACAAGAGAATCTCTCATTTGAAGAAAAGAAGCTTTTGTTAACATTCATACTTTAAAAATTTATTTTTGCAAACAAGTTCTTACAACCTTGAGGTTGTAGCTCGGTGCTCAGGTACATGCTGAGTGTGAGGTGTTTAGCACCAAAAGCAAGCAAACAAAATTAAAGCTCATGATAGAAATATTTGATAGACCCTCAACCCTGTCTCACTTGACACATACATAGCTACAGATGTTGGTCAAAATGGGGCAACAGAACCTGGAGGTAGTCTGTTCCACAGGGGTTAAAGTAAGACATTTTATTCATACCAATGTATTTTATTTATGGGCTCAGTACTAGTTTATAAAATGTTCTTGGATTTGACAGGAGTTAAGACAAAAACCCTAAAAAAACAAAACCGCCAGCTAGATTAACTACTTAGTTTCTGCTAACAGAAACATTTTTTAAAAATGGCATGTGTGTATTTATTTATTGCGTGGATGTCAAGTGACAACTTGCAAGAGTTGATTTTCTCTTCCACTGTGTGGATCCCAGGTATAAACCCTGGGTCATCAGTCACGGCGGCAAGTTCTTTTACCAGCTGAGCCATCTCAGTGGTTCGACCAGAAGCTTCTATGGGGATTTCAAATAAAGATAATACTTATGATAAGAGTTAACGTTTTCCTGTTTGATTTTCTGAATGGCTTACTGCTCTTACACTTTATAAGACAGCAGACCTTTCCTGGTTGGTCATTGTTCATTGGCTCAGTGTTTAGGGATAATAAATTTATAATTGCGTCAAGAGGCTCTTAAATAACTCTGTAAAGCTTGCTATTATAATTTAATTCTAGTTCAGAGCTTAAGTAATAAAATTTTATCAGTACTGTTTTAAAATAAATGAGACAAGACCCAATTATTGGTTGAGCAGAATTCTTTGGGTTTTGTTTGTTTGTTTGTTTGTTTTGTTCTTGTTTCTTTTTGAGACAAGGTCTCCCTATTATGTAGCTCTGGCTGTCCTGGAACTCACTATGTAGACCAGGCTGATCTTGAACTCACAAATCTTGATCTTGAACTGCCTCCAAAGTGCTGTGTTTAAAGGCATGGACCACCACACCGGGCTATAGTTGTGTAGAATTTTTATCGAAATCCCTCAAGTTTCTTTGTGGAAATCGAGAAGTTCCAAATTTACACAGGACTTTAAAAGATCTATAGAAATAAAAATAATTTTGAAAAGAGCAAAAAGATTTGTCATATTTCTGTCAGAACCTACAGAAAACCTGGTGTGCTGGGGTGCACCTGGTATGCTGGTGTGCACCTAGTGTGCTGGTGTGCTCCTGCTATACTAGTGTGCTCGTGGTGTTCTGGTATGTACTTAGTGTGCTGGTGTGCTCCTGATGTACTGGTGTGCACCTGGTGTGCTGATATGTACCTGGTGTGCACCTGGTGTGCTGATATGTACCTGGTGTGCACCTGTGTGCTGATATGTACCTGGTGTTCTGGTGTGCTCCTGATGTGCTGGTGTGTTTTGGTGTGCTGGTGTGTTGGTATGTACCTAGAATCCCAGCACTTTGGAGTCTGAGGCAGGATTATGGGTTGGAGGATCATCCTGGGTTACATAACAAAACCCTGCCTCAAAAAGAAACCCTCAGATATAATATAGTCATAGATAAATCAAGGGATATAGTAACATCATGAAATAAACTCATATTTAGTAGGCCATCTATATCCATGGCTTCCCCACCTCAGAGTTTAGTCAATTATGTGTAAATTCACATGGGTACTGAATATATATAGATTTTTTTTATTCTTCATTATTCTTTGAATAATACTGAATATGAATCTTTACATAGCCGTTAGAAATAATCTAGCGATAAAGTGTATGGCACGATAAATACAGGTCATATGTAAATATTACACCATGGGGGAGCCCTAGAACCAGTTCCCCACGCGTACTGAAGAACAGCTATGCGTGTTAAATTGCTTTTCAACAGAAGATCCCAAGGCAATACTATGGGAAAAGACATCACTTTAACAGATGATGCTGGGACAGCTAGATGTCTGTGCTAAAGAGATAAGACACTTAGACCCTTCACCGTACAAATAAGTCATAGATTTTAATGTACAGTCTAAAACCATAAACTTTCGAAAGAGAGAATAAGAGTAATGGCCTAATTATGGAAGATTGAACTCTCAGGAGAAAACATTCATGATCTTGGATTAAGTGAGGCTTTCTTACGTAACACCCAAACCATGATCCATTAATAAAAATTCACAAAATAGGTTTATCACATTTTAAACTATTCTTCTCAAAGTTACTGTTTGGGAAATAGAACGTATTTGCAAAACTTATATGTATATAATAATTTGAATCCAGATATATAGAGAATTACATCTTACTTAATAAGAAAATGATCTGTTTTTTAAAAAAGGTATAAAAGGGATTACAGATATAGAGTGCAGTCTGTACTTAATAAATACAAGTCCTGGGCTGAATGCCCATTATCCCCCCTCCCAAATAATAAGGAAGAGCAAAAGATATAAACAGATTTAATTAAAGACAATACATGTATGGGAAGTATGTATATGAGAAAATATTCACCAGCATTTTCCATCATCCATCATCATGGATATCAATGCCACAGTGACCCTTAAACTGGGGAAAATAAGAGGATCAACTTCATTCGTGACTGATGTACAAGTGTAAAATATTATACGCTTTTTAGAGAACATTGTCAGTTTCTGACATTAAACATCATGTAACTGAGCAAATCCACCCAAAGTATCTACTCAGTAGTAATATAAAAAGATAGACATTACTCTTATGCCTTGGGTATTTCAGATTTTGTAATTAATAGGGGTTTTTTTTAGGTTGTATAATTCTTTTAACGTTAGATGGTAGCATTGAAACCACTGCGCTATGATTCCCTTGTATAGGGGCACAATAAATTTGTACTGTTTTTGTCAGTTTACTCGTTTAAAGCAATGTGGGGGTATGGTCTCTTAAAGTTCTTAGGAATGTGTTCAGATTGTAGGTTGTTTTGTAAAGTCCATGGGCTGTAACCCTGGGGCCATGATCTTTTTAGTGCTAGGTACTGAAAGAAGATGGGCTAAATAAGGGGAGTTTATGTAAACAGCATGGCTATTCCCTAAATTCAGATTCATATGTCTAACTGTTTTGGGGGGCTCATATCTCTCTCTCTCTCTCTCTCTCTCTCTCTCTCTCTGTCTCTCTTGGGTAGGCAAGCTCTCGTTGTTATTCTGTGTGAGTCTAAGACATTTTCAGCACACTGTTTTGTCTTCACTATCTCAATGCCTTGGATAGTTGGTGCCATATGTGTGTATGATGTAGAATGTGATATAGACAGAGGCGTTTCTACAATGCTGCATTTTCTTCTGTACTACCTAGTTTAGTGCCAAACCAGCCTCCTAGCCATCTAACTGATAATACCATGTCATTATGGAATCCATTTTCCTTGTGTTCTATATCTAGTCATTGCTTTGTGGGTTTTTAAAATTACATTTATTTACTTACCTATGCTCGTGCATGTGTGTGTTTACATGAGTGTGTGTCACAGCATGTGTGAGGGAGTCTGTTCTCTTCTACCCTGTAGATTCCAGGTGTCAAACTCAGGTTGAGACTTGAAGGCCTTTTCCCTCTGAGCCATCTCTTCAGATGTTTAAGCCTTCCAATATACATTTTTTATACTTTCCAATTCTTTACATTTTCTTTAGCTTTATTGCAGCTAACTTCAATTTAAGCTAATATCCCTTTTCTCCTAGATTTTAAAAAACGTGATTATCTTGTATGTATCTGTGTGTAATAGGAGTGTAAGTACATTTCTGTATGTATGCACAGATGTATGCATATGTGTAGTAGGAGTGTAAGTACATGTCTGTATGTATGCACAGATGTGTGCATGTGTGTAGTAGGAGTGAAAGTACATGTCTGTATGTATGCACAGATGTATGCATGTGTGTAGAGGTCAGACCCCCATGTTATGTCTTCCTCTACTGCTGTTTATACTCGCTAAATCTTTAGCACACTCTCTCTTTTAAGATTTATTTTATTTTTAGTTGTGTGTGTGTGTGTGTGTGTGTGTGTGTGTGTGTGTGCAGGTTCCTGCAGATGGCAGAAGAGGGTGTTAGATCCCTTGGATCTGGAATTATATGCATTGTGAGCTACTCAGCATGGGTGTTGGGAACAGAACTCAGGTCCTTTGGAAGAACAACAAATACTCTGAACTGTGAGCCATCTCTCCGGCCCTCTTTTGGTCTCTGTTGATGCCTCTTGATAATCTGTTGTCCCAGCAGAGAGACATCTCTTTCCTATGGATTTGAGGTTTTACCAGTTTGCCTTGTCAGCTTAGGCAATATTTTTGCCAATCGTTTCCTTCAAATTTGGATGTATGACTCCGTGTGTGTGACAGTTGCTGACATTTGAGCAGCCCCATCTGGACTCCCGAGCTTCCTTGCCTGTTGTTTCACCTCTCTGGGATCTGCTCCATGAGTCCCAGCCAGGGCTTCCTTAATAGATTCCCGCTCACCTCAGGATTGCTCATGTGTGCTCCTCCGTCCTCCACCACAGCCTGCCCTGCTGTGTGCTCCTCCGCCCTCCACCACAGCCTGCCCTGCTGTGTGTGCTCCTCCACCACAGCCTGCCCTGCTGTGTGTGCTCCTC